TCCTCCTGATAGTTCTCTTCGTGTCATCGAATCGATATCAATTTCCTTTCCTCCCCTGTAGTCTTCTCATGTTCCCTTATCCTCATCTTTCGTTCCCCTCCTCCTCCTCCTCCTCCTCTCGTCCTCTCCTTCCCAAAATCTTCGTCCTTCTCTTCCTCGTCCTCTTTCATCTCTCCCTCCTCTTCGCCCCCCCCCCCCTCCCCTTCATTCCTCCTCTTCCTCCCCCCTCCCCGTCGTCTCATTATTCTCCTCATCCGTTATCTCCCTCATACCTCCTCCTCCTCCTCCTCCTCCTCCCTACATCCTTCTCCTCTTAACCTTAGTGGTATCGTATTTCTCTTCCTCGACCTTCTTTTTTCTCCCGCCTGCGTCTTCCCCACTCCGCTTCGTCCTTCTCGTCCTCATCCTCTTTCTCCCCCTCGTTATCCTCCTCCTCTTTCTCCTCCTCCTTCTCCTCCTCCTCCCCCTCTACCTCTCCTTCCTCCTACATCCTTTTCTCCTTCCTCCTCCTCCTCCTCCTCCTTCTCGTCGTCATCATCATCATCAGCAGCAGCATCATCATCATCATCATCATCATTATCTGCATCTTCATCTTCATCATCATCATCCTCATCATCATCATCATCATCATCACCATCATCCTCTGTCCTCCTCCTCTCTCTCGTTCTCCTCTTCCTCATCGTCCTCATCCGTCTCTCTCCACAGTCCGTTTCGTCATGCATTGTTTCTCCTTGTCGCACCCCCTGATTTGTCTTTAGGGCGTGCTCGGCGCTTCGCCAGAGATTTCCTCCCGCTGTCTGATCCTGGAGCTTTGACGCCGCAACTGTTTCGAGGATGGAGCACAGGTCGTTTTCGATGTGGGGCTCTTGCCTTATCGCGCGCAGAGTTGCTTCAAGTAGTTGCAACGGTTTCAAACATGAATGGGGGACGTTTCCAAACATGCGGCTCTCGCCTCCGCGTCGCACACATTCCTTCGTAAACTGTCGCAGCAGTTTTGATGATGGAGTGGGATCGTTTTCAGCATGGGTCTCTCGTCTGAGCGTCGCACGCAGTCATACGGTTTTCGCAAGAGCTTCCAGGATGGAGGGGGGGTCAAGATGGGGCTTTCGCCATCGCTCACCAGGCATTCGTTTCACAAGCCCGCAACAATTACATAGATGGGGGTTGGCAGGGGGTGCAAAAGGGTGCTCTCGCTTGACTGTCGCGCACATTCATTGTATGTATGAAACGGCTGCAAAGCTGGGGGCGGCGGCTCATTTTCAGAATGAGGCTCTCGCCTGTCGCCCTGGCCCAACGTTCCTGTTTGTCCAAGATTGCAGCAGCTTCAGCGATGGATGGGGTACGTTTTCAAACTGCGGCTTTCGCCTGAGCGTCGCGCACATTTATTTGCAATGTTCGCAGCAGCGTCAGGGATGGATGGGGGAGGCGAGGGGTCAACAACAATGCTGTCGCTCGAACGCCGCACACGTTCGTTTCAGCATGCCGCAGCAGGTGCATGGATGGAGGGGGCGGGGCGTGGTGGGGTGGGTGGGGCGGGGTGGTGGTGGTGTGTGCCCAGAGGATCGCCTTCCGCGGATCGGCCCCGCACCGCTCCAGCCCTGCCCGCCGTGCGGCCGCGGGCAGGAGGAGGAGGAGGAGGAGGAGGAGGAGGAGGAGGAGGAGGAGGAGGCGGAGGAGGAGGAGGAGGGAGGAGTGAGGAGGTGTATCTAGGAGGGGGTCGGAGGAGGAGGAGGAGGAGGAGGAGGAGGAGGAGGAGGAGGGGGTGGCCACAGCAGTATGGTGCACGGGCCGCCCGCCTCCAGATCCCGCGGGTGCCAGGCGCCCGCGCTGCCGCCCCCCTGCGGGGACCTCCCTACAGGCGGGGCGTTCCCCCTCCCTGCCCCCCCCCCTCCCCCCCTGCCCCCCCCTCCACAATTACTCAATATGAAAACTACTCTCCCTCTTCCCCTGATGACGGCCTGGGAGTGTCCGACCCCCCCCGCGTATTGTTTTTTACACACAGGTTTCCCCGGAGTTAGGTTTTCGCTTGCATTTTACCTGACAGCGAAGGCTGATATGTTTCTAGTGGGGTCAAAAGAGAGCATCTTGACGCCCCAAGAGGGTCTGGGCGGGATGTAGACAAAACTGGACAAAACCGGCAGCCCAAGGAATCCTTAGGAATCATTAAGAATTCTTAGGAATCCTTAGGAATCCATTCCCAGAACATCATTCCCAGGCTATATTTTGAATGCCCGGAGCCAACTGTAGGCCACTTCGTGTTCCCGTGTTCCCAGAACACCATTCCCGGGCCACATTTTGAATGCCCGGAGCCAACTGTAGGCCACTTCGTGTTCTTCGTGTTCCCAGAACACCATTCCCAGTCCACATTTTGAATGCCTGGAGCCAACTGTAGGCCACTTCGTGTTCTTCGTGTTCCCAGAACACCATTCCCAGGCCACATTTTGAATGCCTGGAGCCATGTAGGCCACTTCGTGATCTTCGTGTTCCCAGAACGCACTTCCCAGGTCACATTTTGAATGCCTGGAGCCAACTGTAGGCCACTTCGTGTTCTTCGTGTTCCCAGAACACCATTCCTGTATAATATTTTGATTGCCCGGAGCCAACTGTGAGGCTGAGGCTGAGGCAGGCTGAGGCTGAGGCAGGCTGAGACTGAGGCTGAGGTATACTGAGGCTGAGGCTGAGGCTGATGCAGGCTGAGGCTGAGAGGCTGACGCTGAGGCTGAGGCAGGCTGAGGCTGAGGCTGAGGCCGAGGCAGGCTGAGGCTGAGGCTGAGGCAAGCGTAGGCAGGCTGAGGCTGAGGCTGAAGCTGAGGCAGGCTGAGGCTGAGGCTGAGGCTGAGGCTGAGGCTGTGGCTGAGGCTGAGGCAAGCTGCGGCTGAGGCTGAGGCTGAGGCTGAGGCTGAGGCTGAGGCTGAGGCAGGCTGACGCTGAGGCTGATGCATGCTGAGGCTGAGAGGCTGACGCTGAGGCTGAGGCAGGCTGAGGCTGAGGCTGAGGCCGAGGCAGGCTGAGGCTGAGGCTGAGGCCGAGGCAGGCTGAGGTGAGGCTGAAGCTGAGGCAGGCTGCGGCTGAGGCTAAGGGCTCTGGCTGCGGCTGAGGGCAAGCGCGCTGCGGCAGGTGAGGTCGCAGGCTGAAGCAGGCTGAGGCTGAGGCTTGAGGCAGGCTGAGGCTGAGGCTACGGAGAGCGTAACGAGACACTCCGGAGCCCACTGGGTCGAGACATCATGTTTCTGGCCGCCCGAGGGCTGAGGCTTGGCTGTTGAGGGGCGGAGGCAAGCTGCGGCTGAGGCAGGCTGAGGCTGAGGCTGATGCAGGCTGAGGCTGAGGCAGTCTGAGGCTGAGGCTGAGGCAGGCTGAGGCTGAGGCTGAGGCCGAGGCAGGCTGAGGCTGAGGCCGAGGCAAGCCGAGGCAGGCTGAGGCTGCGATTGCGAGAACAGCAGAATTCTACAACTGGATTCTCACCAGAATCTGGAGGGAATGCTTCCAGATATGCTTATACACATAGCTGTTAGGTTGCTTTGCCAGGATATTTTTTTCAAAATGCTGCTCTCGCTGAGGCGCCGGCCTCATTTTCGGGCCCCGCTCGTTCTGAATCGTGCTCCCGCTGCAGCGCTGGCCTCATTTCCGTGCTTCCGCTCGTTCCGAATCGTGCTCCCGCTGCAGCGCTGGCCTCATTTCCGCGCTTCCGCTCGTTTCGACTCCTGCTCCCGCTGCAGCGCTGGCGTCATTTCCCGTGCCATGCCACGGCATGCACTGCAATGCTAGGTTGATACTACGCTTTGCGGTGCTCTTCTACGCCATGCCATGCCGTGCTCTACAATGCATCTCGTACCCATCATTGCCCTGCTCGACATCCGACTGAGCGAGTAGAGAGGGGATCTGCGCCATGGTAAGGGATGGGAGGGAGGGGTAGGATGTCAGATATGACGCGAGCGCACCAAGCTTGTCCTCCCCCCCTCCCCCCCTCCTCCTCCCTGCTCCCCCCCCTCCTCCCCCCTGCGCCTGGCCCCTCCCTCCCTCCACGCGCCGCCACGAAACCCATGCCGCAGCCGCGGCTGGCAGCTTCCCCCATGTGGCGGCGCTCCCGGGCCTGGTTCTGCGGCCCCGCACCCCGCCTCGCGGGCCCAGCGTTTGCTGGTGGCAGTCTGAAGCCTAGCGTGCTCGCAGGCTTGGGACGAAAGGTGGTGTATTGCAGCCCAGTTGATGCATCTTGGGTTAACTCTGGTCCTTCCCATCGTTCTCCTCATCCTCACCATCGTCACCACCATCATCCCTGTGCTCTTCCTGCTGCTCGAGGAGAAGGCGGAGACGGCGGGAGGGGAGTCGGATGGTTGGACTATGGGGAGGAGGAGGACGATGAGGATAGGGAGAGGATGCGGCTGAGGATGATGATGATGATGAGGAGGAGGAGGAGGTGGAGGAGGAGGAGGAGGTGGGAAGATGGATATGATGATGATAAGGATGATGTTGACGATGATGATGATGGTGATGATGGTGATGGTGATGGTGATGATGATGATGATGATGATGATGATGATGATGATGATGATGATGATGATGATGATGAT